ACAGCTAGTAAATATTTTAATGAATCTATTATTTCATAATGCTTTTTAGATTCTAAATTAGAGTTTATTTGTTAAAATGTCAAAGTATTGTTGATAAAATATTTGGAGTCTTCACTTTATAATTCATTTAATTTGTTTTAAACTTTGTTCTTGGTCATTATAGCTAGAACAGGTATTTAATTAATAAAATTAATATTCATTTTTTATACTTTTTTTTTTTTATATATATAAAACCCGTATTTTTTTTATACAAAAATATCTTTTTTTATTTTTTACTTAATAAAAAAATAAATAATTGTAATTTAAAAAAATATTAAAATAAAATATAAAAAATATGAATACATAATAAAACCTCGACTTATCATCTCATATAATCTCCCCTCAATATATAAAATAATCCCAAAACTCCTTTCAAACGTTCTCTAATACTATAAAAATCCTCCTTTCTTAACGTCAATTATTCCCTCATCCCCTCCCCGATCTTGAAATCGAGCTTCTTATTTCCCAACTATCCTTAATGGACACAAATAATTTTTCCCAAAAAATAGGTGTAGGGGAACGAGAGGGTCGAATAATAAGTTAAATAGTCCAAAAACGTCATTTTTATATGTCTCATGGAATCGGAAGAAGTGGAAATTTATCTGCGGAACAACCTAAAGCCCCTGGTTCGTCTTTAATTTTAAAAATAACGGAATTTTTAGTAAAGGATATGTTAAAATTGGTCGGTTTGTGTAAAAAAAGTAGAAATTTATTAATTTTACCAGCTGCTACAGGAATGGCATGTTTTTTAACACTTATGGCCTTAAAAAAAAACATTAGTTAGGAAAAAAAATACGTAATTTGGTCAAGAATAGATCAAAAAACGTGTCTTAAATGTATTCTAGCAGCTAATTTAGAACCTTATGTATTAGAATTAGTCTAAATAGGTGATAAATTATGTAGTGATGTAGAAAAATTAGGTAAATTGTTGGAAAATAACGATTTTAAGAAATAAGTATTGTGTGTTTTTTCAACTACTTCTTGTTTTGCACCTAGAATACCTGATAATATAACTGAAATAGGAAGAATATGTTTTGTTAATAATATACCGCATATAGTTAATAATGCCTATGGATTATAATGTGCAAAAATAGTAAATTTAATTAATGAAACTTATTCGAAAAATCACAGAATAGACGCTATTATATCTTCAACTGACAAAAATTTCCTTGTACCAGTAGGAGGTGCTATTATATATGGAGAAAATAAATAATTAATTAAAGAAATTAATGAAAACTATCCAGGAAGAGCTTCTTTGAGTCCTATAATAGATCTTTTTATTACTTTTTTAAGTACTGGGAGGGAAAAATGGGAATAATTATTAAATATTAGGAAAGAAAATTTAATTTATTTAAAAGAAAAATTAAATTAAGTATTATTAAAATATGAAGAGAGGGTACTTTAAAGTACAGAAAATAGTATTTCGGTTGGATTTACATTAAAGAATATTTAAAAAAATTAAAAAAATTAAATTTCTATATTAGAATTAGGAGGAATTTTATATAACAAGAGAATTATGGGAGGTAGAATAATAATAAATAATGAAAAAGTATTAAAAATAGATAATTTATAATTCAAAAATTATGGATGTTCAAACGATTTTTATACAGAGTTGCCTTATATGACTGTAGCATGTGCAATAGGTATGGAAAAAAAAGAAATAGATATGTTTTTGATTAAATTATAAGAAGGAATAAATGAATATATAAAAAAATGAATAGAAATATATCTATATATATTTATATTTAATCAATTTTTTATTTTTTCATATACATTATTTTTATGTTTTAATAAATGAAGTTATTTCTGTATTTATTTCATTGTTTATTTAATCATATAAATTATTTCTTTTAATTATATTGTCTAATGATAAAATTTGTTATTAATATTCGTTTTATTCTTCTTAAAAGAAATTTAAATATTTTTAAATTATTTTTTCACGTATCTAATAAAATTCATATAAATATTATAAATGATTCATACCTACAATACCTTATAAATAATTCAAAAAAAAATAATTAAAATCAAAAATATAATAATAATATTAATAATAATAATAATAATAATAATAATAATTAGAATTAGAATTATTTATGTTTATATTATATATATTTAAGAATAAATATATACATAAAACAGTCTCTCCTTGTGTTTTATTAGTCGAGGTATTTAATATATTGTATTCTCTTTTATATTCTATTTAATCTATAATACATGATCTTTAATTATTATTTTTTGTTAATAATTCGAATTTTTCAATTAGTTGAAGATAGTTTATTTTCTAGTAAAATAATCTTTTTAAAATATAAGGTATAATTCCTTAAAAAAGTAATGAAAAAATATCCTTTTTTTTATAATAAAATAAATAAAAAAAATTACTTTAATTTTTATTTCTTTGCATTTACATTCCATTTTTAATTAATTTCTTTTATTTAAAATATAAAATAAATCTAAATCTCCTGGTAAAACATAAACTTAATTTCTTTTTGCAGCTTCCAAAGCAATATGAAATTCAAAGCCTTGTAATAAAAATTTATTACTATTAGGAGATTTTTATAAGTTTTTATATAAATTCTAATACTGATCTTCTAAATTAGCTGTTATAATCTATAATCTATTCTCACAAACCTCTAAAACAATAGAATCTGGTTTTAATTATTCAATTATATCGATAATTTCAAGTGAACTTTCTTATAAAATATGATAAACTCCTAAAATTACATATGTTCTTTTATCTTGGCTTTTAAAATATTTTAAAGTTATGCGATTTTTTGAGATTTCTTCAATGAAACTTACTTGTTTATTTTCAAGTTTATTTTAAAGCATTATTTATTCAGTTAAATCTTTTGTTTTTTTGAAAAAATCCATATATATTCTTTTAATGTTTTATATGTTTAATTTTTATTATTCTTGATAAAAATTTTCATATATTCCTATATAATTAGGAAATGGGTTTTCTTTAAAATCATCTTTTTAAGTTTTAATTAAAGTATTATATGATGTTTAATCGTAAAAAAATAATTAATTTTCTAAAGAAATAATAGGATTTAAATATTTTTAGTATTATTAAAGAATTAATGAAAAAGATTATTAAATATTTTATTTCATTTTATTTAATTAATATATATAGATATATATTAATAAAAATATATATATAAATATATACATATATACTTATATTTAAATTTTTTACATATATATATTATTTATTTTTAACAAAATATTTTTAATATTTTTTTTTTTTTTTTTTATTTTCTTTTATTAAATTTATTTTATTTTGAATTTTTTTTAATAAATGAAATATATTCATTATTCCTTTATATTTCTTATAATAAAAAATAATTTATTTCTTAAATATATATTTAATCCCAATAATTAGAATATTTTAAGAAATATTTATTTAAAAATAATTTTAACATATTTCGTTTTCATTATTTATTATAAAATCTTTTTATTCTAATTTTTTTTTATTTATATTCAAAAATCAGAATAAATATAAAATAGTAATATCTATATGATATATAAATATGTATTATTTTTATAATGAATTTTTTAAATATAATTATTAAATTTTTTAATATATTTAATTTTTATTTGTAAAATATATTTATTTATTTTAATCTAATATTAATAATATATATCTTAATTAAAATTATGTTTATTATATATACGTATTAACAATATATAAAATATTATATTTTATTATATTTTATTTTATTTTTTTAAATATTTTTATTAAATTATTTAAAATAATATAATATATATAATATTTTTGTTTTTATAATATATAAAAAAGATTTTTTTAATTAACAATTTTAAATATAATTTTTTAATATATTATTATAATCTTTATATTTATAAATATAATTTAAAATAAAAATTATATATCATAAAAAATTATTTATGTTATATAATAATATTTAATTATTTATTATTAATATTAAAAATATTATTTTATAAAAAAAAATTAAATTTTTTATTTTAATTTAAACAATCTCAAAAAAATTAATAAATACTAAAAATATGGGAAATATATGTTTCTATTAATATATAGAAATATCGTATATACCTAAATACTTTGAATTTATAATATATAATTAAATCATTATTAATTAGATTATTAAGTGCATATACTTTTACTATTAAAAGAATATAATATTTAAATAAAAAAATATATTATATGAATGATATAATGATTTAATGTTTAATTCATTTAAGAAAAATAATTTATAAATATAATAATATGTTTCCGAAATGTAATGAGAAATTTATACATTTACAGTTTTTTATTAAAATTATTCTAATAATTATGATAAAAATAGCTTATAAATCTTATAAGCTATATGCATTAAATAACTATAATAATATATATTATTTCAATATTATAAAAGAAAATTAAATTTATTTATTTTTTAAAAAGAATAACATTAATTATTTTAACGATTTTTTAATTAGAAATAAACATATATCTAAAAATTTCAATATTATAAAAATATGATGAAAAAGATAATTAAATTTTATATAGAAAATATATAGTTTGATATATTTATTTTAAGAGAAAATAAAGATTTAAAATTATTATATTAAAAAAAAAAAAAAAACTTAGTAGTAATTATAAAATATTTAATATTCAATTATATAATCATATATATCTTTTATAATAAATAATTTATTTGAAAATAGGAAATTTATTTCAGTTGATTTAGATAAATATTAAAAAATTAACTAAATTGTCAATAAATAAATATTTTTATTTGAAAAAAAGATAAAAAAATAGTTTATTTATCAATTAATAATAGGTAATATCATAATTAATAATTAAAATAAATAAATATATATAAATAAATATGTATAATATATTATATATATAAATATTATATATATATATATATATTTATATTTATATATATATTTAATTATTTATCTTAATATTTAAATATATTTTTTAATAATATTTAAATAAAAGCATTAAAAAAAAATATTTAATTTTTTTTTGTTTTCTTCAAATAATATATATTTTAAATATAATATTTTTTTTTAATCATTTTAGAAATATTATATATAAAAACTAATAAATATATTATTATCTTCACTCGACATATAAAATACCAGTTCTACAGAAAAATCCTGCAAAAACCAATGAAATAATAGCCATCAACTTAATTAAAATATTAAGTGCAGGTCCTGAAGTATCTTTTAAAGGATCTCCAACAGTATCCCCAATAACTGCAGCCTTATGTTCTTCTGATCCTTTTTCGCAGACTTCTCCGTTTTCTCTAACAAGATTTTTACCTTCAATATATTTTTTAGCATTATCCCAAGCTCCTCCTGTATTAGATGAAGAAATAGCCATTTAAACACCTGAAACTAATGCTCCTGGTAATAAACCTGCTATTGCTAAAGGTCCAAATAAGAAACCAATCTATAAATGATTTAAAATATATAAAAATATATAAATAAAAATAATATATAATAAATTATATAAATATATATATATATATATAATTTTTTATTTACTATTATAGGTGATAGAATAACTAATAATGCAGGTGCCACCATTTCTTTAAGTGAAGCTTAAGTAGAGATTTTAATACAAGCTTAATAATCAGGTTCGTCTTGACCGTTTAAAATACCTGGTTTTTCCTTGATTTATCTTCTTATTTCTTCAACCATTTAAAGTGCTGCTTTTCCTACTGATTTCATAGTGAAAGCTGAAAAAGCATAAGGAAGCATTGCTCCAATTAGTAGATTTGCGAAAACTAAACTATCAGTAACGGCTGGCTCTCCCTTTAAATAATGCCAAGCATCAACATTAGCTCTTGCATTAGTAATAAAGCCGCCATATAAACTCAAAGAAACTAAAGCTGCGCTTCCTATTGCAAATCCTTTACCTATAGCAGCTGTAGTATTACCTGCAGCATCTAAAGCATCTGTTCTTTTTCTTATATCTTCTCCCAATTCAGCCATTTCAGCTATTCCTCCTGCATTATCTGATATAGGACCATACCCATCGATTGCCAATCCAATAGGTAAATTGGATAGCATACCTAAAGCAGCCAAGGCGACTCCATAAAAGCCCAAAAGTTTTGTTGAAACAAAAGCTGAAAATGCAATTGCTATTATAGGAATAATAGTAGAAAAATAACCTAAGGCTAAACCATAAATTATATTGGTAGCAGCACCAGTAACACAAGCCTAGGCGACTTCCCTAACAGGAGAATATGAATGAGAAGTCATATATTCGGTAATATAACCGATGGCTAAACCAGACCATAGGCCAACAATTACGCAAATAAAGGCATTATGGGAGTATTTTGTAGATGCAGTAGCTACTTCAGTTATTGGCGAGGCTTACATATAATAAACTAGTGGAGTATTCATGTAGGCTACGAGGACTATTACTGGAGTTAGTAAAATAGTAGAGAAAAGAAGCTGTTTTTTCAATGAAGATTCGATTTCCGATTCTTCCCTGACTTTATTTATGAACACTCCATAGAAAGAAACTACTATGCAACATAAAATTCCGGCTGCAGTAATCATTAGGGGGAACATTAAATTGTCTATGTGGATATTATCGTAGAAAGAGGCAACTTTAGCATCTCCTTCGGGTAATTATTGTAAACTTTTGGCTGAAATAACTAATGCAGCGCATGTACTTTCTGCAAATGAACCGAATAAATCAGCTCCCATACCGGCTACATCACCTACGTTGTCCCCGACGTTATCAGCAATGGTGGCGGGGTTATGAGGGGAATCTTCAGCGAGGTTTTATTCAACTTTACCGACTAAATCAGCACCAACATCTGCTGCTTTTGTGTATATACCACCACCTACTCTTCCAAACAATGCAACAGTGGATCCTCCTAAACCATATCCGGCTACATATTCGAAAAGTAAAGCAATATTCTCACCAAAATCCTACCCAGGAGTCAAAATTGCCTTATAAAACATTATTAATAAAGTCAAAGTTAAAAGAGCAATGGAAACTAAAGCAAATCCCATTGAAACTCCGGCAGCTAAAGCTGTCTTATAGGCTTAATGTAATCCCTTTTAAGCCATAAAAGATGTTCTATAATTAGATTATACAGCTATCATCATTGCAATATATCCACAAGCTATAGATGTAAATCCACCTATTAAAAAGGATACAGAAGTATATGGACGCCAGTTTGCTTAAGATGAGTCAATAGATAAATACAAAAATAAAGACATTGCTAATAATACTATGGTACAGTATTTATATTCGGCATGTAAAAAAGCTTTGGCTCCGTCTGATATTTTCTTACCTATAGATAATATTATGACATTCTTTTAATGATTATTATCCACTTGGGCATTTAAGTTTTCTTAATCGGAATTATTTTCGGTTATTATGGGCTACTTTTGGGAAGATTCGACTTCTAATTTGACATTATATACAACTAAGTAATTATATAAAGCCCATAAAAGACCTAATATACAACAAGCTAAGATTAAACCAACAGAGGCTAAGAAAGGTATCGCCATATAATTTTTTTATTTTAATTTTTATTAATATTTATATTTTTTATAATTTAAATAAATTTTTTTGTTTTCTTAATTTGCCTTTTTTTTTTTGATGCCGTTTTTATTGTGTAAATATGTTTTGAAAATTTATTTTTATATTTTACTTCAATGTCATTGTTGCCGTTTTTAAATTATTTTATTTTTTATAAAATATATTTGGTTTAATTTTTTATTTTTATTATTAATTATTTTTTATAGAAAAAAAAATAAAAAAAAAGATATTTATAAAAAATAAAAAATTAAAATAACTTAATTAAAAAATTAAAAAATAAAATAAAAAAAATATATATTATTATTATTAAATTTATACATAAATATGATTATATATATAATTATATATAATTATATATAATATATATATTTATATATATAAGTATTGTTTTATTTTATTTTTTTTATTTTTTAAGTTTTATATTTTTAATAAAATAATATATAATAATTTTTTATTTTTTTATATTTTTCAATTATATTTTTATAGAAAATTAAAATTGATACATATTTTTTATATAATATAATTTTTATAAATAAATTTTCTAAATATTTTTTTTTTAGATTATATAAATATATCCTAAAATTAAATAATATTTTTAAATAAATATGTTATCAAAACTTATAAAATCTCTATTTTGTTTCTAAATATCAAATAAAATATACAAATTATCTAATTAACCATAAAAAACATCATTAAATCTTTCTAATCCATTAGACTTATCTTCATAAATTTTATTAAATCCGTAAAGTATTTCCAATCCTCTAATTATAATTTAAAATCTTAACTTAAATAGCTTAACCCACACTGAGATATCTATAATATGTCAATATTATTGCCAATTATAATTAAAAGATTAAATTTTTTGGAAAAAAATGAGTTAAAAAGGTCTAGAAAATCTTGAAAAATTCGATCGAGAGAGCCTTCCTGTTTTTATATAGGCTATGGACATGTGTTAGTAATTAGAAATATTTTAATTTTGGAAAGAGATATACTTATATGGATAAAGAAATAAAGAATAACTAAATAGTGAATGCGCACTTGTTTTATATTGTGTTTTAGTAAGGAGATTTTCTGGTTAAAATTTAACAATTTTAATTGATCAAATAAAAAACGAAGAAGATTTCACAAAAAGCCTATATGATTAAATTTTAGAAAAACATATATAAAATATGAATTAATTTTAAATTTTAAAACTTATTAATTATTCAGTTTTATATAGATTTTAGTATATTGAAAATGATTTTAAGTTTTACTTCTAAATTTTAGAAAAATATTTATGTTTAAAAAATATAGATAAGGTATTTTATAATGATTTTTTGAATACTTTAATTGTTTTGATTAATAAAAATGTATATTTAGATACTTAATTTATTGTTAAGGTGTTAGATTTTATTTAGTAAAATATTTAACTAGTTAATCATGCTAATATGACCTAGATTTTTGTACTTTTTAATATTCTAGATATTAAATAAAACAGCTATATATATAAAAAAATAATAGAAGTTTTTAAAAAAGAAGGAATTAAAATATAAAATAAAGAAGAACAAAATATAATTATGTATTGTATTAATTCTCATAATTAAATATTGAATGAAAATCTAAACAAAATTTTTGGTTCAGAATAAAAAAAATGAATAAGTGTAAATATATAACAATAAATATATATATATATCTAAATATATAACATAATATAAATATATATAGATATAAATACATATATATATATATATAACATATATTCATAATATTTATTCTATTATATTCTTTTCTATTGGCTATTATTATATATTATATGTATTTTTAATATAAATTTATTTTTTAGATTTACCTCACTTTCATTTTAATTAATTTTTATTTCATATTTTTTTATTTCTTATTTTTCTTTTATATATATTATAAGTTCTTTTTTTCTTGTCTAGAGTATATTTCCAATTATTCCATCGACTTTGTATTTTTCAAACGATTCAAAAATTTTTTTTTCTAGTATTTTTTCATCAGTTTCTAATTTAAAAGAGAATACTTTAGATTTATGACAAATTTGTTTTATTTTCTCTCTTTTGATTTTTTATTTAAATATTTGTTAATTTTATTTACAATAATTTAGGAACTTTTTATAGTTTTAAAGTTAAACCGTCTTCTGTTTATTAATTTGATTATATTTTATGTTATGGTAAATCTTCAAAAGGAATGTAGAAATCACTTACTGCCGCTGATAGATAGATAATAATATTTTCAGGAAATTAATAAAGAGTTAATATTTAACAAAGTATTCTATAATTATAATATATATATATATATATATATATATATATATATATTATTTTTTGTTTTTTTTTATTTATAAAATAATTTATTTTAATATTGTTTTGTTAAAAATGAAATTTTATATATTAAATAATTTACATTATATTTTCTAAATATTCTTAAACAGTTTCATATTATATATATTAAATATGATTTTAATATTTTTTATATTCATTTATATAATCTTAGTATTTTTAAATACCTTATTCGAATATTTCCTCGACAGAAAATCGCCAAGTAAAAGGTATATATGATTTTTTTCGGTAAAAATATATTACTTTACAATTATTTTTTAAAAAATATTCACCTGATAAAGCTCCTCTTTGCCCTGTTGAAAAATTCTCGATTGATCTTACGAGATTTTTTTCTAAAGGTACTTAGGTACCTCCAGAAGTTATTAATATAATTTTTTATTGTGGATTCTTCCATTTTTCTAAGTTTTATTTTAATTATTCTTAAAACATATTTTTATTATTTTTTTAAAATTATTATTCTTATATATATATTAAATTACAAATATTTATTAATTTTTTTATTTTTATTTTTTTGTTTCTATTTTTTTTCAAAAATTATTATTATCTTCATTTTATTTTTTAAGTATTTTTTTTAATTCATTTAATCGAATTTTTTTAGTATTTTAACGATTTATTCCTAATTCTTTTTCGAAAAAACTTTGTTTTATAATAAATAAATAAATAAATATATATAATTTTAATATTATAAAAATATTTTATTACGCTTTTTTTGCATATTAATACATAAAATATTCTCTTTTAACTCTTTTTATTCTAGGAATAATAAGAGGAGCAATAAAAAGAAAAGAAGATATCATCTTTTTATGTTTTTTATTAAGTATTAATAATATTATAAATAAATAATATATAAATTTACTAGTCCAGAAACTAGAAAAATATAAACTTTATTTAATCTAAACTAATATCTAGAAAAATATAAATAGATATATATATATATATATATATATATATATATATATTTATAAATATTTATATATTTATATATTTAATATTAATTTTCTCAATTACTTTATTTCATCTAATGTTTTTTTAGAATAAGTATCTGGATTAAATAAATTATAAATGAAATATTTATACTATTTTAAAGAAACTGAAAATACTGTATCACCTTTACTTTTTTAAAATATTTTTATTTTTACTATATTTTTTTATTTACTCCCAAAAACTGCTTAGTCTAATACCAAATGGATCTCTAGGATTAAATTCTGATTTTTTTCCTATTTTTAATTATTTATAATGTTCTTCTAAAAATCTAGAACGGACATTTATTTTATCTTAATTGAATTATTAAATTATTTTATCTATATTGAGATTCATTTTTTAAAAAAAATTGAAAAAGTAAAAAATAAATAAATGTAAATAAAAATATATATATATATTATATTTATATATATTTATAATTATTTATATATATTTTAATATATTTTAAGATTTTTTATTTTTGTTTAAAATATACATTATTATTTTTTTATTATATGTATTATAGAAGAGGATTAATAATCAATTATTTTTTATAAATTAAACAATTATATTAATAATAAAATTAAAAATGAATAATACAATTTCATATAATTTTTCAAAATCTCCAAATAGTAAAATAATTATCATATTTTATTTATAATATAAAAAATAGAATAAAATTAAACCTTTAGCGAATTTAATATAAATAGTAAAATAATTATATCAACTCCTAAGAACTAAAGATAATAATTAAATAATACATATAATGTATAAACAATGGAATAAGTATAAAAAATAAATATTTTTTTTATATACATAAAATTTTTTAATAATAGCTAAAAAAATTTTAAGAATATAAATAACTTATTCTTAAGAATAAATATTAACAATAAGATCCAAATAGATTTTAACATTTATATGAATATGCAAAAAAAAACAGGAATAAATAAATACTTAAAAATTAGAAAAATTAAATTTGATTTGTCAACAGAATTTGAAGAATGTACATTTAGACCTTAAATAATATCAAATAAATGCAAACAAATATAGTTTTATATTACTAAGAATATTTTTGATAGAAGTAATGATTGGAAAAATTAAGTAGATATAAAAAAAAAAAAAATATAGAAAAAAATAAAATAAATGAATTAAATGGATGTACTTTTAAACCTGAAATTGTATATATTAATTTTTTAAGTATATTTTGTAAATTATTATTAAATAGAATAAAATTGAAAAATATAAAATTGAATAAAAAAATAAAAAATAGGTTGATAATAATACTAAAGGAGTCGATTAATTTATAAAAAGATAAATAAATGCAAGACAATAAAAAGAACATAAAAATTTTTTAATAAATAATCCTGAAAAAAAATGTTAATAAAAATTTTATTATCAAACAAATAAAAATAATGTAAAATTCTACATATTTTATAAATATATATAAATATATATATATATATATATAAAATTATATATTTTTTTTTATATTTATAATATAGAAATCTATAAATAATACTCTTTCTTTTTAATATAAACAAAAATTTTTATTAAATAATTCTTCTTTAAATGTATATTATTATTTTAATTAATAATATAAAATATGTTATATATTCTTTTTTTAATTACAATATAAATTAGGTATAATAAAGTATGACTAAATCTAAATTAAATTACTAAGTTATTCTTAAAACATTACATAATTAATTATATGAAGCTTAAATATGAAACCTTATAAAAAAATATAAAATATTAATGTAGAAAAAAAATCTGTTTATAAATTTATACAAAAAACACATCTATATTCTCTATTTATTTTTATAATAATATTTATTTTTGTATTTAAATAAAAAATATAAATTCTATTCTCAATATTAATAATATTTTAATTTTTTTATTTATATAATAATTGTTTATATTGTTCATATTAGTAAGTATTTATTTTTTAAAAACTATATTTTTTTTATATAATAATAATATTTATCTTTAAAAGTAAAAAAGCTCTCCAAATTTCCTTCATTTTTAAATTCTTTTTAGATTATATATTATTATTTTATAAAAATAAAATATTAAACTATAAAATGGAAGCTATTTTATAATTACATTTTTTTTTAATTATTGCATTTACAGTTTTTAATAATTTTTATTTATAATTTAAGGTTTTATTTCTTTTTTTTTGTTTAAAAATGTCTTTATATATTTATATAATATTAGTAAATTTATTTTATGTATTTTTTTATTAACTTTTTGCATTTTAAGTAAATTATATAAATAGAATAAACATTGTATTTTAAATTTATTAATACATATATATAAATATACATATAAATAAATATACAAATAAGTGCCATATATAAATATTTTTTTTTTGATAAAAACTTATAATTTATATATATATAATTAGTCAAAACCATATTTTATATTAATATTAATAACATATTATTACTCCAAAAATAAAAATCAAAAAAGGGTTTTATCTTTAATTAACAATTCGAATTATTCTTTAGTTAGTCTGATATTTTTACAATTTTTATATTTCAAATAATTTTCTTTTTCATATTTTTAATTACAATTAGTTTACATTTCATCTTCATTTACCTATTCGTGAATAACTGAAAGTTCATTTTCTATTTTTTTAATTGTACTTTAAGCAATATCATTATTAAAAGAATCAATATCAAGATTGACTTACTCGATTTTTTATGGGGAAAATTAAAAACTGGAATTTTATGAATTATTATTATAATCTTCATGTAAAAACTCGAATTTTTCTTTAATGAAATTATTAAAATCTTTTTATTATTCTTAATACTAATATTATTCTGGTTTTTTATTTGAATGAACTTATTATTATTTTAAAATTAAATAAATTTGTTTTTCTTAATCTTTTAATATAGAAGTGAATTATTTATCTTTAGTATTTATTTATTTGGTTAAAAATTCAAATTATTAAAGGAATTTATTTTTAGTATCTTATTATATATTTTCGTTTGTTTTATATTCTTTGAAAAATTGTTTAATATCGCTTTTCATTTAAAATGTGCACTTTTTTAATTCCTCGAATTCTCCTCGAAATTAATTTAAAATTTCTTATATTAATTAAACGTTTTCATCTATAAGTTTTTATACTTCGTTTTTTTCACAGAAATTGTTTCTCTTTTCAATATTTAATATCTTATTATATAGTTCTGTAAATTATCTATATTTATATATTTTATTTTAAAATGGATTATTTTTTTTATTTTATTACTGTTAATTTTCTACAGTATATTGTCTTAGTTCTTTTCTTAATGTTTCTTATATAAATTATGTCATTTTTATATCTGGTGGAGTACTTAAATTACTTTAATTTGATTAATATTTTATTAATTAGGCACTATTTAATGTCGATTATTGAAAATAATTATTAAATGATAAACTTTAGTTGCTATCAAAACTATTTTCTCGGTTTGTGTTCATTTAATTTAATTATAGGTTTTTATTTACACGATCTTATTTGTTTATATTTTCTTAATTTTGATAAAATATAGGCTGCTTATATGTCCCTTTTTAACAAGATGGGGGTCTTTTTAATTTATCGTTCATTTTTATTTATTTAATTCAAATAATAAATATTTATTTTGAATAAAATTAATTTATACTAATATTTTTTTTAAATAAAAAATATATAAAATGTATTTATAAATTTTTTTCATAATTTTGAAAAATATTTAATAAAATTTTAATTATTTTTAATATATATATATATATATATATATATATAATATATATTATTATATATTTATTTTATTCTATTTATTTATCTTTATATATACATATATTACTTTATTTAAAAAATAAAATTGTATTTTTTTTTAAATGATTAAATATAAAAAATATTTTAATTTAATAAAATATATATATTTTTTTTCCTAATATATAAATAAAATAATAAGTTTATAAATAAAATTTATTTAATTTGTAAATAAAAATTAACATTATTAATGCTGAGTATAGTTTTATAATAATAACAGTATAAAAATTCAAATGATGATTAAATAAACTTACCTAATTGCAATATATTTAAAATCGATAAAATAAATGAAGAATATACTTATATTTTAATATTAAAATTACCTTAAAACATGTTAAGATTTTTAAAAGGACTTGATTAATTTAAAAATTTAAAAGAAATAGATTTTAGTTAAAATTATATAAGTGAAATTGAAGAACTTGATAATATTTCAAATAAATTTCATTTGGAAAAACTGAACTTGATTGGAAATCCTTTGATGAAATAAAGGCCTAGTTTTTAATATATAAAAGAAAAATATTTCTTTAATTTAAAAGAATTTAATATCGAATTATTATAATAATTAAGAAGTTACTCTTTAATAGAAAAAAATAGTTAAAATAATAAAAAATGTGAAAAAAATTCAACTAGTTTTAATTTTGCTGTTTAATAGAATAAATAAATTTGTATAAAAAATTAAAAAAGTCTATTAGATTAATTATAAAATTATTAAAAAATTATTTAAAATGAGAATTTTATAAATAAAAATAAAAAAAATATGGTTAATCGTTTAGTATAAAAAAATATTGAAAATAGTTTATTTTAAAAAAATATAGCAAATAGTTATTTTTTAATAAACAAAAATATAGATAATAGTTAATTTCAATAAAAAATGGATAACAGTTAATTAAAAAAAAACATGGAATACTGTTAATTTCAATAAAAAATGAAAAAAAATTAATTTAAAAAATACATGGAAAACTGTTAGTTTCAATAAAATACGGAAAAAAGTTAATATCAATAAAATATGGAAAACAGTTAATTTCAATAAAAATTGGAAAACAGTAAATTTAAAAAAAACATGGAAAACTGTTAATTTCGATAAAATATGGAAAACCATTAATTTTAATAAAATACGGAAAACAGTTAATATTAATAACATATGGATAACTTTTAATATTAATAAAATATGGAAAACAGTTAATATTAATAAAATATGGAAAATAATTAATTTCAATAAAAAATAGAAAACAATTAATTTCGATAAAATATGGAAAGCTGTTTATTTCAATAAAATATGGAAAACAGTTAATTTCAATAAAATATGGAAAACAGTTAATATTAATAAAACATGGAAAACTGTTAATTTCAATAAAATACGGAAAATAATTAATTTCAATAAAATACGGAAAATAGCTAATATTAATAAAACATTGAAAAAAGTTAATTTCAATAAAACACGGAAGACAGTTAATTTCAATAAGATATAAAAAACAGTTAAATTCATTAAAATACTGAAAACAGCTAATATTATTAAAACATGGAAAACTGTTAATTTCAATAAAATATGGAAAATAGTTAATTTCAATAAAAAAATTAATTTTAAATAAAGAATAATATGGTAAATAATTAATTTTAAAAAAATATAGTAAATAATTTATTTTAAAAGAAAAAAAATATCGAAATATTTGATGAAGAAAAATATAAAGTGAATTTTTTAGAAAATTAAAAAAAATAAAATATGAAACAAAAATTATTTAATATAATAAATGATAATACATAATAATATATTTCTTCTAAATAATAAATAATTAATAAGATTTTTTAACAATCAAAGTCTAATAATAATATAAATTAACCTTTATTTATACAATAATAACAATAGAAATTAAATTGTTAATAAAAACATTCCGAAAAGTATATTAATATGAAAAAAAATGCATGTAAATATAATATTAATAATTAATTAAACTAAATATAAGCTTAAAAAAATAAAAATATATTTCAAAGTTAAATATTAGTCTAAAAACATATAGAAAGTATAGATAAAGATATTTAAAATTTATCTTTAAAGTTTTATTAAAATAGTTTATATAAAAAAGTTTTCATATCTTTAAAATAATATATATAAAAATAATTTAAAAAATAATGAAAGAATATTATAAATAAAATAAAAAAAATATATATGTATAAATATATATAAATATATATATATATATTATTATATTAATTATATAATCTCAAAAATATATTTAATTGATTAAATTCTTATATATAATATAAAATAAATATATATAAATTATAAAAAAGATGTAAACTTGCATTTAACATCTGTAATAACCTTATATTGTCATAAATATAGATGAAAAACCTATTTTAATGTGTTCTAAATGCCTTTAAGCTAACAAAAAAGAAAATTAGATATTATTATATTTATAAGATATATAAAGCACTAATTTTTAGGATTTATAGATTCCTTTATGGCGTATAAAAGATGAAGAAATATTAAATGAAATTAGTGATTATTTAATCAAAAGGAAATTTTTGAATATTAATAAAAAAATAGAAGTCGTATTTGATTAAATAAAATAAAAAATAATAAATATAATAGAAAATGCTAAAGAGAAATATATTGAAAAATTAGGAGAAAATTGTGATTTTATTTAGTCTTTAATAGAAGTTTTTTAAAAAGTTGTTCCAGTAGATTTAATATAGGGTAAACTTCAGAATTTTACTAATAAAGAGGATTTTGAAATGTTTTTTTAGGATTTGTTATAAAATTAGGAAAGAAAGAATCTTTTTTAAGAATTAAAAGAATAATATTAGGCTATTTTAGATTAGGAAAAACAACTTAATTATAAAAATTTAAGAAATTAATTTCTAATTGAATTGCCTAATTTACTTTCTGATCATAGTTTAGATAGATAAGAGTCGCCATTTTATTAGAAACAAAATCAAGATGATTAATTAATACTAAAAAAAGTCAATTCAATAAAAGAAGAAGTCAAAATTATCATAATGGGACCTCAAAGTGTACCGAAAAATGGTTTTATTAATACCTTGATACATTAGGAGTTCTCAAATGAAAAAATTTAGGCTAAAAATAAAAGTTATGTATATCCTTTTTAAATTTAGGAAAAAAATTTGACACTTGTTTTGTAAGAAATCGAAGAAATCAATAAGTAAAGTAAAGTAAATTTAGAAAATATGAAAGTTTTAGTACTTTTAGCAGATAAGAATTCTAAAATTGAAGAACTTGAATACAATTTAGTTTAGTTTTAAGAAATGGGAGTAAAAGCTGATTAATTTGAAAAGATATTAATATTTTTAGTTTTTTTAGAAGAAAAAGAAAACGAAAATTAATAAATATTTTAGGTAAAATAATTTTATAGATAAAAATATATATTTTATTATAAATTAATATATATATAATATTATTATTTAAATATATATATATATTATATTTATATTTATTTATATAATTTTTTTATTTATTTATTTTTTTAAGAACATAAAGGAATTTTTCAAAAATTATAAAATAAATGATTTTTTAAAAGTAAATAATAAAGATTATTAATAGGTAAAGGATTGTTTTATCAAAATTTTATAATAATAATAGTAATTTATTTGAATATTGATTTTTTTTTTGTTCATTCCCAATTATTTTAACATCTTTAAACTAAAATTTAATTTAGATTTTTATTTTCATTTATTAAATTATTTATTTTATTTTATTGAAATTAAATAAAATTTTCATTTTATTAATTTTATACTTTTAGTTTTTCACATTTTCTGTATAATTCTTCTTATAGTATTTAATATTCTTATATTTATTTATTTTCATATATTTAATTATTTTATTAATATTATATTTTTTCTTTAATTTTTTAATTTTTTTATATCTATTCATTTTATTTTTATATTTAATTTTATTCTAATTAATTTTTTATTATATTCTCTTATTTATTTTTCTCTTCCTATATGTTTTTTAATTATTCTTTTAATATTTTACATTTTTATCTTAATATATTGTATTTTTATTAAATAATTAAATTTTTTTATTCTAAAAGTTCATATTTTTATTGAATTTCTTCATTATATTTCACTAATTTGAGATTATTTACTTTAAATAATTCTACTTATTTATCAAAAATAGTATTTTTTTAATCATTTTCTTTGATTTTTTATTTCAAAGTTATATTTTCAATTTCTAATTCTTATTTTTTTTTTCTAAGGCAATATTTTTTTATTAAAATAAACTAATTTCATTTAAATTTTCATTTATTTTTTCCTAAAGTGTTTATAATTACTACAAAAATAAAGTTTCATTTTTTATTAAAAAAGAGTTCGAATTAAAACTTTCCTATAATATATGAGAATTAGTTTTCGAAGAAAAAGACGAATTTACATTTTTCCGTTTAATTTTTTAAACGTTTTCAATACAAAATGAGCGATTTTCCTTAGATTTATTATTTATATATTATAAAAATATCGAATTATTTTATTAACTTTCATTTATGTAGTTTAATATTTAATTTTTTAAAGGATTTTCTTAATATAAAGGGCTTTATAAAACACTCATTTTTTAAAAATACTAAAAAAACAAAAAAAGACAAATCAAAAAATTTATATATATAAAAAATTATTTTGAAATAATATATATATATGTAAAACAAAAGAATCTCTATATATATATATTTTATTTTTTTCTTCGTAAAAAATAAAAAAATATACATTTAAAAAATAAGCACTTTATATATAAAAAATTAAAATAATTTCATAATATTTTAACTTCATTTTTTAGTTTATCAATTAAAGAATCTACACTATCTAAAATAAGTCCTCCTTATCTAACCTAAGGACTTTCAGTCTTTAAAATTTCAAATCCAGTCTTCAAATCTACTCCTAAACTGTCTAATTTTATCTCTTCTACTGGTTTTTTATTAGCTTTCATAATATTAGGCACTGTAGTGAACCTTGGTGTGTTTAATCTAAGATCACATGTGATAATACCAGGCAATTTAAAGCTTAATGTTTGAATTCCGCCATCTATTTCTCTACTTACTTCGGCATTTTCACCTAGTAATTTTACTTCTGAAGCGAAAGTGGCTTAAGGCCAGTCTAATAGACCTGCTAGAAGCTAGCCTGTTTAATTAAAGTCATCATCTATTGACTATTTACCTAAAAAAACAAGGTCAAACTTATCTCTTAGGATGATTTTTTACAATATACGGGCAACAATTAGTGGTTAAAGTTACTAATCAGAAGTTAAATCAGTCAATATATGAAGCCCTTTATCAGCACCCATTGCTAAAGCATGTTTTAGTGTTTAATTGAAGCTATATATAAAGTTATAAAATTTAAAGGGGGAAAAAAAAAAAAAGAAAAAATTTTTTTTTTTTTTTTTTTTTTACGTTTTTGGACCTATTGTTAAAACTACGATTTCGTTTATGGTTTTTTTCTCTTTTTATCGAATTGCCTCTTCTACGGCTATTTCGCAAAAAGGATTTATTGATTAAGCTACTTTTGTGTCTACACCAGAAAAATCAGGTTTTACACGAATCTTTATTTTATTTTATTTTCATCTTTTTTAATTTTTACTTTTTAAGCATAATCTACTACACGTTTTATACTAACTAATGCTTTCATGTTATTTGTTTTTTTGTTTTGTGTTTTAAGGTTTTTTGTATTGTTTTATATAATGAATATATATATATATAAATATATATATATATATATATTATGGTCTTTTCTTAATTTATTTATGAATTATTTATAGTATTAAATATATAAATAAAAAATATTGAAATATATATCAAAATATAAAATTATAGGTAATAGTATGTTTTTAGATAAAACAATAATAAAAATAAAATAAATATAATAATATATATATAAGTTATATATAAAAAAATAATTTAGTATAATATATAATATAATTATAAATTATATATTTAATTGATAAATAAAAAAAAAAAAAAAATTATATATATATATAATCTTACATATATATATAAAAACAATATAATTATATAAGTTAATTATATATTTATATATATCTATATATATAATCTTTTCAATATTGTCTTTAATTATTTTTTTCTATATCAATATTTTAGAATGTATGTTTACGAATTATTTTAATATTTATTTTTTTAGAATAAAAATTATGAAAATGCTATAAAAAATCCAAATAAAAAAATTAAATTTAAATAATAAAAAATAATAGGAAAAGGCTTATTTTTTTCATTTTTTTCATTAAAATCAATATCAAATTTATTCTTTTAAATAAAATAAATTTTTATTAATAAAAAAACGTTAATTTAATTCAAAATATCCAGAATTATCAATTATTACCATTAAAAAATATCAAAAAATAACAAAAAAAATAATATGTTTATACAGAAATATCCAGAAAATAATAATTTTAAATTTGTGTTTTCTTATTTATTTTCTAATTGTCTAAAAAGTTCTATTTAAATAAAAAAAAGATACATATTATATACCAATATACCCATACTTATTTTTTAAAAATAAAATTAAGATATTAGTATAAAACCAAAACTTAAGATTATATAAGAGAAAGGGTTTATAAGGAGAAATTTATAGCATTTTATGACAAAAATGTTAAAGTAAATTGCTGAAAAAAAAAAAAAAATTGGAGAAAGAAAAGGAAAAAAATGTAATAAAAAAAACTTTTTATCCTTATTATTAACAAATATGAGTATTAAAAAGAAGCAAGCAAAATTTAAAGGCCAAAAAACCATAAAAAGAGAAAATTCAGAAAAAACAAGGTTATTTTTAGTAATTATTTGTATTTTTTTATTCTTAAACTATTCATATATTATTTAACTTAGAAATATTTGAATTATTAATAAAGTTTAAGATATAAAATCTGAGAAAATCTTAAAATACAATTTATCTTTTTTATCAATAATTTCATTATTTATCATTATTATATTTTAAAAACTCATATTTTTTTAAAATAAAAAAAAAACAAATTAAATATCGTTACTTTTTTAAATATATATATATAAATAAAAATATATATATAAAAAAATATATATAGATACATATTTATATATATATTGATATATATAAATATTTTTATATATATATATATATTTATAATTATTTATGTTTTCTAAAAAATCAATTTAAGCTAATAAAAATACAAGTAATATCATCAATTACATCATAATTCTATTAGAAAAATTATTAAAAATATATATATATATATATATATATATATATATATATATATATATATATATATATTACTTATTTCCATTATTAAATAGATTATTATATAATTTTATTACATAAAAAATCTATATTATCTTATTATGAATCATAGTATTAAAGAATAATTTAAATAATCTTTTTTATTATAAAATATATATATATATATATATTAATTATATATATATTTATATATATGTATATTTATTTATATATTTTTATATTTAAAATAATTACTTTTTTATTATCTATAAACTCCCAAACTCCGTCTGAAGCTATAATAATAAATTTATCATTTTATTTAATTTCATACTATTTTATTTCTATTAATAAATAATATAAAAAATAAATATAAATACAAATAAAATATATTAAAATTATTAATTTATTTTATATATATACCCGGTTCACATATAACACCTACTTAAGAAGCTATAACATCCCCAAATGATCTTGACATAGCTAATCCTGGTATATTTTCATTTCCTATCCATATTCTATATGGTCCTATAGGTTTATTATTTTCATCTTTATAGCAATCTACTCTTCCCCCATTTTGGATGATCCTTTCATATTCAGAAGGGTTGTCTGGCTTATGATCTTTACTAAGGGATATATGTGACCAATTTTATTAATCTTATAGGTATAGTACAGCCCTTGAATCTCCTGCATTTGCTGTCCAGACTTTATTTCCTATTATAAGTACACATACACAAGTAGATCCGGAAAATGAACAATCTATTTCGGACTCTAAAAGCTCTTTACTTGTCAAAAGGAAGGCTAGATTTAATGAGTTTTAGATAAAATTGTCCTTTTCGTTTTTTATTTGTCTATATAAGGCTTACTCAAGTTTTTTAGGAAGAACATCTTTTATAAATGAGGAGACTATATGGCCGTTTATACCATGTCCGTCACAAACAGCGAATAAAAAACGGTTTTATTTTTTATTTAATTTATTTATATAAATTATATTGTCTTGGTTTGTTTTTGTTATGCATTAATTAGAACCAGCTTATGTTTTAAAAGAAAAATTTTTTAAATAGGATTTTTTAGAAGTTTATTTATATTAATGATTATTTTTTAAATTTATTTGAATATTTGCTTTATCATTATTTATAACATTGTCAGTAATTTATGAAGATTTTTTTAATTGTTTTTATAAATACTAAAATTTAGGATAAAATGAAATTAAATTTTTTAAATTATATTTTTCGGTTGAATATATGCTTTATTTCGATTTATTTTTTTATAATAATAATAAAAAACTACTTTTTTCTTATTAGTCTAATGAAAGTTGTTTATATTTATTATTTAAATCATTTTCAGATTTAAGTTTATTAGTTACATTATTATTATTTTATTTATTATTATGAATATTTTATCGATTATTTATAATATTATATTATTATTATTATTATTATTATTATTATTATTATTATTTTTTTATTATTACTATTATTATAATTATCATTACTATTATTTCTATTATTTTTTTATATTAATTTTTAATTAAAATCATTTTCTATAAATTATTTTGATATAGTTGATTAACTTCTTTTATGATTTTTTATTTATGAAGAACTATTTTTTAATATTTTTTATATTATTTTTTTGCATTTTTTTGTATTTTTTTTTACAAACATTTTTATTATTTAGATTTATCATTGGAAAATTTAGTTTCACTAAGAGATTTTTTTTATATATATTTTATTTTATTTTTATTTTATGATAATTATATTTAATTTTAATATTTGTTATTAGAAAATTCATTTAAAAAAGACATTCTTAAATTTTAATATTATTATTACTATTTGGAAGTTTTTATTTTATTTTATTTTTTATAAATTTATTCTTAATTTAATTTATTTTAATTATTAATAATAATAGAATCTATTCCTAAACTCAATCTTCTTTGTTAAAAATTTTATTTTGTTGGTGTGTTAATATTAGTTAAAAGATTTGAATTATTATAAACTTTATATCCATATTTTTTAAATAAATATATATATAATATATTTATATAAATATATATATTTTTATATTTATAAATATATTATATATTTATATATATTTTTTTTATTATTAACTAATAATATTTTACTTTGGTTGACTTATATTATTACTTTTAGTTCTTTTTTATTTACATTATTTTTTTTTAATCTAATATTTTTATTTAAATTTTTAATTTTTTTTATTATACTTTAGTAAAGTTATTTATTATTATAGGTTAATTTTATGAAATATTTTAATTTATTTTTTATTTATATTTGTTTAGTTAAGTATTTAAATTATCTTTCATTAATAGCATTTTAATTTTTAAATTTTTTAATAAGTTTAATCCATTTTTTTTACAAATTAATAATTTTTTTATTACTTTTATCAAAATATTTTTTTTTAATATTATTTTATTATTAATATTCTACTGTTTATTTTTTAAATTAAATTTATTTTTATGCCTTACGAACAAAAAAATTGTTTGTTTATTTATTTAATTATATAAATAAATTAATATACATTTATAATTTATTAAAAAAAATATATTTATCATTTTTAAAAATGTTATATAATTATTATAAATAATTAATAAAAATTATACTTTTTTATATTTATTATTTTTAATTATAATAATATAAAAAGAATATATATAATTTTTAATTTTATTATAATTACTTTCAATTTCTTATAATTATTCAAAAAAATTTTTTGTTTTTTTTATAAAATAAATTTAATAAAATGAAATTACATATTTTTACTATAAAAATATAATATATATATTTATATATATATATATATAAAATAATTAATTTATATATAATAATTTATTTATTGTTT